ACACAACCTTTATTTACAAGCCTAAAGAGGCCACCAACCCAACTAAAATGGGACTTATAAGCCTTCGGCCGCCCCTTTACATTCTGTACAGGGCATGAACATGCCAAAAGACACGGACACACATAAGCATTACATCCAACATCTTGTTGAGAAGTTTGTCCGTGACAGCTAGGTGATCGGGATGGCATTCCCTGTCTGGCCTTTTAGCCATTTTGAGTCAGACAGGGAGTGCTCCCTCCTTCAGTTGTCCAGAAGGAGGGTGTGGGGGAAGCGAACCATGCCGTCGGCCATTAATATGTGGCCTTTCTTCAGCTGTTGTGTTAGCGAGGAGTGAGTCTTGCGAACTCTCTTAGGAAAGCTGGGACAGGCAGGGATCGTGGGCTGCTTTTGCTTAGGTGGCCTCCTAAGCCCGGGTGGCGGGATGAGTTGGTAATGTTGGTACTTTACCTATCATTTTGTGGTTATCGTAGTTATTGCTAGAGTTTCTTGATAATTATTCCATTCGTTCTTATGTTTGTGCAGTAATAAGTGCTCATAATTTGGCCAATATTTATAAAATAAGGTATTTATTACTAATCTTTGTTTGTAGAACTGGTACAGTGATAATGCTAAGTTTCTCGTGATTCACGCAAACTTGATAAAAATCTGAGGTGATATATTTATCTGGGTTGCAAGAAAGAACAGATAATAAATGTCTCACTGAATCCTTGAGCTAGTCTAGGATTGAAGACTAACTTTATGAGCAACAATTGAAAATTCAATATTAATTTGAGGTGTTATTGATCTTTTTATCAATTTCTATGCTAATGTCAGGGTTCAGAATTGCAGCATTTTGTTAGCTCGGGCATGTTGTGCTGACTCAGTACTGTCAAGAAATTACTTGGCGCATGAAGAAGGGCACCATGACAAAAGTTTTAGCATATCTGGGAGTTCCATAATTTCTAAGTTGTATTCCAGTGAATGTTTGTATCATACAAGTCATACAAAGTCTTTCCTATGGTGTCGAAACCTTTCTTCTCATGCTAGGGCGAGATCGGGCCAGAAGGATGATGATCTAGAAGATGGGTTTTCTGATCTAGATGTACCACCAGAAGATGATGCAATGGTAGGACCTCAGGAAAAAGAGGACGATGGGGAGTTGATGTCTGAAGAGGAGATGAACAATGCTGCTGCTGATGAACTTAGTTTTTTGGACAGTGAAACAGATTTGTCTGTTGAAAAGAAAACACAGAGGATTGAATCACAACTTTCCAAAATCATAATAGAAAATCCACGATACTCGCTTAATGGCACACTTGATAAGTGGGTTGAAGAAGGGAATCCTCTAGGACGAGGAGAAATCTCACTTGTACTGCTGAATCTTAGGAAGCACCGGCTCTATGGAAAGGCTCTACAGGTGACGTTTTTTTTATCTAATTAGATTTTCCATCAGTGTAAATTTGTAATGTTTATGATTTTTGTTGTTGACCTTATTGACTATGATATTACTTGGTTAGATAAATTATCATGCCCTGTTTTTTCTAAGTGCATGAAATTGCTAAGTGATAGCATGTGAGCAAGTCACATGGGTGAATGTCCTCTTTGTTTAAGAGGACAAAGAATTAGAATGTCATATATACTGCCTGTTGGTCTTGATGCATTACAGTGCCATGTCATACCATTTCATACAGTGCTTGTGTCAGCATCTGGTAGAATAAGTTCCTATGCTCTAAGCGAAATTTATGTTGTCCATCCTTGTTAGTCTGCTGCACGGTGCCACCTGTATTGACATGGTAAAAGAAGGAATCGGGTTTTAATAAGTTTCCAACTTGGTAGTATGGTAGTGGTACTGCACCATGTGAGGCACAGGCATAAATCTGTAATTCAGTCCATATGTAGGACTAAGATCGAATTCTTTCCCCCTCCCTTTCCAAACCAAAAGAGGTGTGAGGAGGATGAGGATAAAACACAAATGAAATTACAGCTAACTTGCCACTGTGTGCAGGCTATGCACACTGAATCCAGTGTCCCTCTCCTCTTGCTATATGCATGCTGACACTGACCAAATATGAATATTCTAGAACAGTTGGTGGCTGGTACAATATAAAGCTTAACCGTTTAAATCTGTGCTTATGCTGGCCTTTTCAACAAAAGTTTCTGAGCTGTGTGAAAATCATCATCTTGAGCAGGTTTTTTAGATCTTCCTGAGGCTTCACATGTGATATATATAAAACCTGCCATATGCAGTTGTATAATTTATTTATCTGTCCTAGATGAATGTCCTAAAGATGTATAGATTGAAACCGAGGAGGATTTTTTTTTTGTTCAGACTAAGTTGATAACCATGGCCTTTGTCTTCAAACGACAAGAACATTATCTTTGAATTTGGACCAGTATATTTTGCCTTCCTGTACTTTTACATATTTATTTGATTTTAACCTCTCGTTATTTTATTGATATATCAATATTTCTTTAAGATCTCAAGGGAAATAATAAGAGCACTTATATCTGCATGCTTGTGTATGAATTTGTAGCAAACAGACAAAAGATTATGTCCATAACATTTTCTTTGTTCAGTGCCATTAAATGCTTCTTTGGTAAGGAATAAATGCTATTTAAGTAGTCACCTTTTTTGGGTATTTGGATGCTAGTAGCCTAGTACAATGAACTTTTGTGATCTTTTGCAGTTTGTTGAGTGGCTTGAAGCAACTAACCATCTTGAATTTCTTGAGCGCGACTATGCTACCCATTTGGATTTGGTCGCTAAAGTACATGGTATTCAAAAGGCTGAAAAATACATAGAGGAAATTCCAAAATCCCTCAGAGGCGAGGTGCTGTACAGAACTCTCCTGTATCATTGTGTTTCTGCTACCAATGTAAAGAAAGCAGAAGATGTTTTTAATACAATTAAGGCTCTTGGCGTCCCCATTTCAGCATTTGCTTGCAACCAACTGCTGCTGCTTTATAAGTGGGTAGATCAGAAGAAGATTGCTGATGTCCTCGTGATGATGGAAAAGGAGAATGTGAAACCAAATCTCGTCACATACAGGCTACTGATAGACACGAAAGGCCGTGCATATGACATATCAGGCATGGAGCAAATTTTGGACACAATGAAGGCTGAAGGTGTGGAGCCCGATTTGCTGACTAATGCTATGGTTGCACGGCACTATGTATTTGCAGGCCTCAATGAGAAAGCAGAAGCGACCATGAGGGAGATGGAAGGTGATGACATCAAGGAGAACCGTGCTGCTTGCAGGGATCTTCTTCGTCTTTATGCTGCTCTTGGTAAAGCAGATGATGTGGAAAGAATTTGGAATATTTGCATGTCTAACCCACGTATAGGTGAGTGTTTAGCTGCAATAGAGGCTTGGGGCAAGCTTGGGCAGGTAGAAAATGCAGAGGAAGTCTTTGAAAACATGCTCAAGATACAGAAGAAGCTGTCAACAAAATACTACAACACATTGTTGAAGGTTTATGCAAATAATAAGCTTGTATCTAAGGGAAAGGAATTGGCAAAGCGGATGTCAGACAATGGCTGCTACATTGGCCCTATGACTTGGGATGGACTCATTAAGCTGTACGCGAAGGCAGGGGAATTGGAGAAAGCTGACTCCATATTGCTCAAAGCATCCAAACAGAATGAGTCTAGACCCCTCTTTGGCTCATATATGACAGTGTTAGGCAGGTACTCTGCAAGGGGAGACATCCATAATGCTGAGAAGATCTTTCAGCGGCTGAGGCAGATTGGATATGCTGTGAAATTGAAGCCGTATCAATTATTACTCCGGACCTACATAAATGCGAAATCTCCAGCATATGGGTTCAGGGAAAGGATGAAAGCTGATAACATATCTCCTAACAAGGCTATGGCAATACAACTCACAACTGCTGATGCATTCAGGAAGACTCAGATTTCGGAATTGCTTGATTGAGTTGAGAAATTTCTGATGCAAGTGAGACTAATGAAAAAGAAACTTCTCATCCCTTTTTATATTAGTGCAGGCTTTGCACAAAGAAAACAAATTGGAGATCACCAGCCCGATTATTGAACTGCTTCTGATGATGGTTTGCCAATGGAAGGATCCAGAATGCTCTAGTAGAAAACTGAGCTCTTTTGGTTCCAGAATGAACTATTTTCCTAGCATGTCATTTTACTTAAGATTGCTGTAGTTTAGATGTTGGAATTTGATATGCAAAATCTATGCAATATCTCTAGCTTCAGTATGTTCTGCTGCTACTTTGTTATACAGCTATGGATACATCTTAGCTACTTGATTGTCATTATATAGCTTTTTACTTGAATGTTAAAGTGAAATATGTTAGTGATGCCATTTCCTTGAACAGGTTGCCATTTGAACACGGTTTTTGCCCTGACTCAATCTTATTATTAAATCTCAAAATGCTTATGGCATATGCTAATGTTGAAGAGAATGTGGAAGTGTGCACAGGTTAAGAGGTGAAAATGGAATTCACTGTAAGGATTTTACTATCGACGATCAAAATCTTAACCAGTCAAGCTAGTAGACATTTACCAGATGGGTGAAGCTGTGGTGGTTTATAGGGCTTAATTTGAATGTAAAAATTGCTACTTGCTCTTGATTGTATTGTCATGGAAAAGCTTTTACTGCAGGACCTGTTGCTTCAGTAGGTAGAAATATCTTCTGTAACCTGTAGTGCACCAGCTGCTGGGATTTTGAGAAGGGATTGAGAACTTGGTGGATTGGCAAATTGGATCAAGTGGAGAATTGAGAGAGACAGAGAGAGAGAGAGAAAGCATCAGTGCTTGTGTGGTTTGTGGTTAAGTTAGGATTGACTTCAACACGATTGCTTCATCGCAGCTCCAAGTACTTGTCAAGTAAGATTTCAAATATCCATGTACTTATATAATCTATAATTATCCTTGCATTTGTTCTTAGTGATACCAAGCGGTACAAGTCAGTATCCAACAAGGTGTTGAAATCAGTATCAGAGAGAGACATCTTTTAACTCTGGTCCCAAGATCTACCTCCACTTGACCAAACAAAAACCACAAAACTAAGGATTCATGGTAGATCTGTGACACACAGATATCTTTAACTTTGTTGCCAAGATCTACCTTCACTTGCTCAAACAAAAACCACAAAACTGAGGATTCATGGTATCAATTTGTTTTACAAGTTACCATAGAAAGAATATAACAAAAAAACTATCCTGTAAACAAACTGTATCAGCATGTACAGAACACAACAATTACTAATCTTTGTAAAGAAAGAAAGCAATTGGGAACCCCAAATTGTCAGCTGAAAGATCTGGAACTGCCATACCCTTCTTGCTTCTCGTTGGATCGCAAAAAGAGTCATGAGAATGGAATGCAAGATTTCCTGAATGAAACAATGTTAGCTTTCCTCGCCATCTATGGTATAAACAGGTATTTGCCAGTTCTTTGTATTCTTCTTCGGGTCATCTGTGAGGCTGAGATCATTCTCATTTTCCTTGTATGTCTTGACAAAGGTTCTAGCTCCTGCCCATATCAATCTTTCCAGCATAAAAAGCTGATAATTGTTATCGACCAATGGGTCCAAAATGTCACTAAAGTTTGATGAGTACGCCAATCTGTAGCTGCGATGTTCAAATCATAATAAGCAAACATCAAATCGAGCTTTAATATCCGACTAGTAATTTACTGGCTACTAGTCAAGGGGTTGACAGAATGAATAGATGAACAAAATGATATTATTCATTTAAGGAGTAAAAGTAGCGACCGCCAGAATAAATTAAGCTGGCATGTAATCATTTAAAGAGATCGACCAGTTCCAGACCAATATTGGCCAAGTCCAACAGGTTCTTGTCAAGTAATGACCTATCATAATGATACAAATTGGTGGGTGCAGATGTTGTGTCCGATCTCCATTTAACATGGAACAATTTTTTAAAGAAGGAAATGTTTTATAAACAATTGTCTAGAATCTCAACCATAGAGGATTGAGTACAAGCAGCAAGAAGCTGCAGATTAGGGAAGTCAACTACTAAAATGTAAGTCAACACTTAAACAGGAACTTCTTAGGTGAAAGAGACTTTTTCAAGGTATATCAGAGAGTAGATGAAAAATTAAGTCTCAGATACCAAGATTTCAGCACTTCAATATTTGAGTTCAAAGGCAGAATATAAATCATATTTGAAGATTTCAAGTCTAGATCGATAGATATAGTTATGTCTATAGGCATGTAGTGCATGAGCATAAACTTCAATCAATAGATGTAGTAATCGAGGAATTATAAGCAGCCAAAACGTGGTTAACGTTGTAAGCATACCTAGAAGAGAGTGGTGAAAAGAAGCCAGGTGATCTCTCGTTTGAAGCAATATATAGTGTCCGTCCTGGTGGGATCCATTTTGCAATCCTCCGCTGAATGAATTCAGGGCGAGTATCTCGATCAAGATGGGGATGAAGGCTCCGCTCAACTCCAAATCGGTCTTTTCTGGTCTTTATTATATCCCCTCGGCGCACATGAATAGCATCATAATCACCAAGTATATTTTTAATCTGTCAAAGCACTTTTCTTTAAGACCACTAAAGAATCATGAAAACTAATGCTTTTTCAATACAGTCTGAACACTTAAAACTAAGGATGGAAAAATTACAAAAGGCTTTCCCTTCTATGCAAAAGTATAATGCAGAACCACTAGGCAAAAAGACTGAAATGTGTATGAGCACAAGTTTACGATCTTTCCCATTTGCTGGAAGCCTGGAATTATCTACAACTTCTCTAATTTTCTAACTAATTATATGCATAAAAATTCATTTTCTTGTTAATTCATATCTTCCAGTGATTTTGACATGCATCATTTGTCTGCAATCGCATAACTCATGCCATGCTCTGAGGTCACAGCTCTGTTCTGGCAATTCACATGCAAACCAAGCAAACAATTTAACAGGAGAACCATTCATTACTAATTATAGAAACAACAGACACTAGAAAAGAAAATGCATTTTCCATGAAAAAGCATTACTTAGATCATCAGATAGTTGCCAATAAATGATGATTATATTTGTCAAAGAATTTAAAGTTTCAGAGTGATCTAGTCAAGCATACCATATTCAAGTGAAATGCACTTTGAAGAACCAATACCTTATCTGCGGCATCTCTGAGTCTTCTGGCAGCCATCATTGGAAGAAAAGAATGTGGCAGCAAAACAGAGCTGTGATTAGTTCGTTCCTTGCACTCCATAAACCTGGATGTTTATCATGATCAAGACTAGCGCTTGAGGTTTCAAAGATCACCTAGCAAAGTTGTGCATCATTTAACCATGCTGACATCTTGGAAAATAAGCAGAATTTCATGAGTGGATGATTACCATGAAAGAGGACTTGCAGTGCGGTTAATTAGTAACACATTAAAGTACTGGCTATTTTCCTTGAGATCAACCCTACTAACTCCTTCCACATGTGCCACTCCCTTGCTTCCTAATTTCACACCTGCTGACACTATACGAGACCACATCTTTGAATTGTCCAAAATCACTGTCACCTTACTTGAAATGAGGCTCAGATCATATAGAGAGTCCATAGCACATGAACTTGCTGCCCACCTAAAAACATGAAAAAGGAAATCACAACTTTTTCCAAAATTCTATTCACAATAAGTTACAGTTACATGGGCTTAGAGCTATGTCATCCACAATCATTGAGAACTGCTGTTAAAAATAAGTGACCTTTGTTTAGATGGATGGTCAGGAGATACATATCACAAATTGAAAAAAAAAGAACAAAGACTAATAATTCCAACAGGAAATCAAACATGCTTTATTTAAGACATTCTAAAAACAAGGGTCGAGGGTCAAAGATTAGAACAGCAAAGCTCCAACTAAATAACCACAAAACAAGGATTTAAATGGGAGAAGATGGTCAGTTACACATTAAAAGAAAGGGTGCAAAGTCGCATAAATGAGCATATAAGCATGTTTTTATCCTCTTTATTTATGATACACTACAAGGTGATACATACAAAGTTCTTGCAGAAAGCCTATGGCATTTGCAATATGGCCGGGAAATAGCCAACTGAGTGATCATATAACTATGTCGAGAGGACAAGTTTAATTCTCGCAAAGCTTGTTGTGCTTTCTGCACCTTTACTGGAAGGTTTATGGACTATCTTCATAAAATCAACTAAGAAAAAACGTAAGATGACAGATGGAAATGTGTAAATAACCATTCGAAATAAGGAGAATCTCACAACAAAGAGCTGTCCTAAAAAGTGAGAAATGGCAAAGCACCAAGTTGAATGAGTGGCAACCACCAAAATGTATGAGATTCAGGCTTATGCGAATGAAAAAACTTCCTAACTCAAAATCATGAAGAAATTATTTTTTGTTCTGTATTCAGATGCAAAAGGGGAACCAAGTGACCGCACATCTCATCTGCACTTGCATTCCTGGGCTGGTACAGGATGCCCTTCTTGTTATGTATTGGATTGATGCACATTCTAGATGGCATTACGAACACTCTGCAGGGAAGATGCAAAAAAAATGTTAGACGGATTTCAAATCTCACATAATTACCAGGTCTCATGTTTCTACTATATGATAAAAAGAGGGTCGGTGCAGGAGGCTCCTGCCAATGCAGACTACACAGAGGTGGCAAAGGTACCGGGCACCAAATCTTAGCATGAAGTGTCTACTACATAATATAGAAACATAGAATAATAAGAGGGCTATTCAGCGCAAATATTTCTAGAGTAAATCATGAGAAGCACTTGACATACCTACCAAGAAGGCACCAAATCTTAGCATGAAGTTTCTACTACATAATATAAAACATAGAATAATAAGAGGGCTATTCAGCGCAAATATTTCTAGAGAAAATCATGAGAAGCACTTGACATACTGTTAGAACCCTTGTAGATTCTAAA